GAGAAAGAACCGAGACCAGAGGACACACACACACACGAGTCATCATCCCTCATTCACAACAAGGATTTAGCAACAACAACAACAACCACCACCAGCGGTGACAACAACAGCCACATAGGCAGGTGGCTGCAGCCACCACAATTATCACCACCCACAAAAATCATCAACCTCACCTACTAAAAAAAGGTTCAATGTGTCAACCACCACCAATCACAACCACCAGCTGCTGCTGCAGCTTCGGCAACAGCAACAGCAGCAGCAGTGACAAACACCAGCAACAACAACATCAACATCATCATCAATATGGACCGCAACGCATGCACGCGTCAACCGCCAGCAATAACCAAGCAGCACCACCACCACCACCGACAACATCAATACAAGTGACAGCGGCAGCAGCAGCAGCAGTATTTGCAGCAGCCAAAAGCAGCATGCACAACCAAAACATCAACAACAACAACAACAGCCCTCTCTCTCTCTACCTGCTGTTCTATGCGTGCCCAGCAGCAGCAGCAGCGACTGCAGCAGCAGCAGCACCGCGAGCCCCGGGGCTCGGACGCTCGCCATGGTGGAGCCCGCGGCAGCCGGCGGCGGCAGCAGCAGCAGCGGCAGGGGGGGTCACAGTAGTCCGTGCTGGCTCACGCTCGGCACTCTCTCGCTACAGCTGATGATGATGCTGATGATGGTACTACAAGCTCGCGTGGATCCTCGAGATTCGTTTGGGACGTCTCCAGCATATCCGGCTTCCCTCGATGCCGCTCTCTTCTGGCGTCTCTCTCTCTCTCTTGTAGCCGACCCCCTCCCTCCCTCTCTCTTCGCCTGCAGCCGGGGTGGGGGTGGTGATGCTGCTGCTGCTGTTGCTGCTGCTGCTGTGTTTTATGTTGTGGTTTTGCTGTGTGCGCGCGTGTGTCTCGCTGTGCGTCTGCGGCCCTTTGGCTCTCAAAGTCAGAGACGCGCCGCCGCCTCCCAGCGACAGAGGCGCGACACTGCAGCTGCTGCTGCTGCTGCTGTTGTTGTTGTGGCCGCTACCGCTCGTTGTTGTTGTGGCCGATACCGCTCGTTGTTGTGGCCGCTACCGCTCGTTGTTGTGGCCGCTACCGCTCGTTGTTGTGGCCGATACCGCTCGTTGTTGTGGCCGGTACCGCTCGTTGTTGTGGCCGGTACCGCTCGTTGTTGTGGCCGTTAGCGCTCGTTGTTGTGGCCGCTACCGCTCGTTGTTGTGGCCGTTAACCGCTCGTTGTTGTGGCCGCTACCGCTCGTTGTTGTGGCCGCTACCGCTCGTTGTTGTGGCCGCTACCGCTCGTTGTTGTGGCTGATACCGCTCGTTGTGGCCGCGGTGGCTGATGTTGTGTCTGGTGTTGTGGCCGCTGCTTCTGCTGTTGCAGCTGCTGTGGCTACTGTGGTACACTGCTGCTGCTGCTGAATGGGACGTTGGCATAACCACCCACGGGGTGTGTTTATTTGATAAATTTCTAACATGTGTCCGAATGAAAAATACATCACACAATATCTTTGGCGTAATTCAGAGTTTATTTGGGTTTGATCGTGTTGGTATGGTCTTTTTTGTACGAATAACCATCCATCATCCGAAAGAGTCAATCAAACCAAGTTGTCACGTGGGCAAATATGCCAAATTCATTAGATTTTTCAGCTAATTGGAATGTTGAAAAGCAAGCAAATGTTGACATTTTAATGTAAAACATATTTCGGATTTTTCATGCTCTTTAATATTCCTCTTTGCTGAAAAATCCAATCAACTGGCATACTATACTCTTTGGTTCTATTCGGTAAAGTCACGTAGGTAAAAAATAAAACATCAGGTGATGAAGGCCGCTTGTGTTGTGGCCGAAACGTCGTGATTTTTGTTGTTTTATTTTTTACCTACGTGACTTTACCGAATAGAACCAAAGAGCATGGATCCTTGCAGTCACGAAAGCTTTACATCTGGAATGGCATACTATATTTGCCTACGTGGTAACTTTATTTGATGTCGGGTGGTGGCGGGTAATAGTTGACACTTGTGTCACTACACGACAAAATCTGACCCAAAATAAACTAATTAAGAATAGTAATATCCCGAGTGAAAGCCTACGTATAAAACATAACCATTAGCGTCGTGGTGGAGAGTGTAAGTAACAAATAAGCAGACGTCTCCTTGTATTCTAAAAGTAGACAATTGAACATCCAGAGCAGTTAAACATATTAATGGCAGCAAGTGATGCTGCCCCGGTTTAATAGTTGAGACACACCTGGACTTGTAACCCAGAGGTCGCCCCTTAAATTCGGTCTCCTGGCGCGGCAGTTGAACCAATAGACGCGGGGTTTTTGTTATTTAATCTTCTGTCAAACTGGACACAACAGATCGCGAGAGGTGGGATACAGGGTAGATATTCCTACTTCCCACAAGACGTCTGGTTCGCGTGGAATATAAGTAGGCTTTAATATCATCTGTAGTAGGGCACTCTTGAGCTCTCTCCAGTGGACCCTCGTCTGCCAGCAATTGCCGTGAGCAAGACATTGGAGGGCTGCACCTTTTGCTTTTCATAGAAGTACTGTCATAAATAATTCGTTTGGGTCTTACCCGTGCCAAAAAAACGAAGTAAAATAATGCTCGGTTTGTTTGATAACACAAGAAGGCTCTCTTACTGGACTGGTTTCCCAGTTTAATGCATTAAATTTACATGCAAGCAATAATATCTTGCCCAAGAATAGGCAAGCTCAGATTCTGTATTGCATTCATATTCAGGGCCATTACACAAACACAAACTCGATGGCATAACTTCAATGGCGTATATATAGAGAACGCCAACTCCAGTGTGGGGCAATGTGGAAATTCAGTGTTGTAGAAGTGCAATCTAATGCAGTAATACTTATCAGGCAACAACATGGCGATTGTAATGGATACGTGATGCCATCAACCTACAAAACATCACGAATCAGTGCCACATTTCTTTGCTCAAATTTCGGATATCCATGCTGACGTGAAAATAATTTAGATCATTACCACGTGATCCACTGCAATCTTACACTCATGTGAACAAATGGTCTACATCACATTATGCTGCACATGTGATTGGCATCTTACCCTGCACTGCATACAACCTACACAACTGGCGAAGTGCACATTTGGAAGGGTGCACAATTTTAACGAGTACAGTACTGTAATTATGACATTTGACGAGGTGTTCCTCAATCCAGCTTGCTATCATGGTTGGTTGGTCTATGAATTGCCCATTATACTCCGAGTGATCCTCATGAACAATGTCTATACACACCAGTCAGTTGTATCCCCGTTTATGAATAGAATAATTATTGAGGCATCATTCCATATAATCCTTTTTTTGCTCAAATACATTTAATGTTGGTTATTACAATGACCATGTCAGCAATGGTTATACATTTTTTTAAATGTATGCCTTTATTTCTGCAATACCATTTTCACAAGCCATTTTGTTCTGTCACTGTGCATATCATTGGTGAGAGCATATCTTGACTGAATATTGATTTGTATTTAGTTACTTTATTTAATCATATTATTTCGTAACTTATATTGTTACGATAGAAGATTATGCAAACACTTAGTGGTAATTGTGCACGAGGGAACACCGTATTTAACAAAACATATATTGAATGTAAGGAAATAAATCAATTAAAAAGATTTTAATCAAATATACGTGTATATATTGTATATTAATGGTTGTAGTGTCCTGTAAGTTCAGAATGATCGCAATAATTTCTATCGTAGTTGTCATTGCAGCCGTTAACTCTGTAATAAACTCTAATTGAGGGTAAACCTTGTGCAACTGTAGTGCAAATTGAGCTGATTCTGATGGACAAGCCCTAGATTGCCCGAGACGTTTTTTGTCCTCCGCAAATTCAACAACATAGCAATCGATCACACGTGGGTACAATGCAAGTTACACTTTAAGCTAAACAGGCAAAAATCAGTGAAATAAAAAATATATAACTTTAACATTGTGTTAATGTCCAATATCTTCGACAAGAAAACCCAATCGATTGTCTAAGAACCTAATTCACAGTACTATTTGATAGCCATTTTGCATTCTTACGCTAGGCTAATTTATAGCACCAAACCAAAGAGCAAACGAACAAAAGATGGGAGGAGGCCGGGAAAAAACGGCGAGGTAAGGATTACGAAACCGAAAAATCTGCCCCTCTCAGTCTGCTCAAATCAATGCAGTTGTCCGTGTCAAACGGAGGAAACATCACTGAACGGGGATTATGAACAATCGACAAAACTGGTGATAGGTTGACAGCCAAAGGAGCGAATGCTCCTGAAAGAACGACTGTGGTCAGTGATGAGGTCAGCTTCCACAGGAAATGTGCAGCATCGGGAGACAATGCAGAAAGCTGTCGGCATGGTGGGTTTGAGGGCTTCACCCCAACAGTGGATAGACCCATGGCTGATGATGAAAGCCTCACTCCTATTGCAAAACTGTTAAAACTCGTACACCTCATGGGCAGTTTAAGCCTACCCCAAGCAATTGTGACGTATAGCTGCAATTCTGGGGCTGGGAAGTCTATACTGGCCATAATTGTATATTTTGACCAACATGCCACAAGTTCACAATGTATGGCTTCGTAGCTAAGTCATATATTTTCTTTGGACGTATGTTACACCGCATATCAAACATTGGGCGGTGACATGGCTCAGTGGTTGCGCAATCATTGCTTCTTGCAGAGGTTTATGGTTCAAATCCAGTGGACGCCCTGCTTAATACTGCAGGCGTATCGCCCATAAAAATACGCTCCGTCTGCTTCATAGTTGCCATTGTGACATCAATCACATCGGTTGGTCAATGTGTGCCAATATCAGACTAAATTTGAAAAGCTACCAATATTTTTTGTATGTTCTCAATTGGAATATAGTGTACATTATAATTACCACCCCTAGTGTGAGTCCAGAGACTCAGGCTTTCCGTGGGTAAACGAGCATAATAATACAATTATAAAAAAAAAATATCAAGGGAAACAAGATGGTACTGAAAACCATTTTTAGGAGTCAACACTTTAATACTGCCCTCAAAATATCACACTTTGAATTAAACTGACAAATCATGAGTACAAAATTGTATGCAGTGATAATTTTGTATTTAGTTAAAATATTAAAGTGTAAATTATACAATACATTTCGAATATGTTCACAATTACCAATGTATTACATAATACCTTTGCATGGTTGATACAGAAAACATGACACTTGTATTAATGCGGTATACCGTTTCTGTTTGACATCTACTTTGAATGAAAGCATCCTAAAAGCAAACAAGTTTGTGAAAATATTAGCAATAATGAAAAAAATATTTAAAATTACAGAATAAAAAGTAAATATTAAAAATAAATAAGCGATATGATCACAAGGTGAAAATAGCTAATACAATTTACAGAATATTCTTCATGTTACTAACATGCAGAATATAACACGCACAAAATGTAAAACATTTTATTGCATTTTATTATATATAACATGGATATGGTACAACGTTACGTGGTTGCTTCATGGCTATCTTTGGCCATGTCGCGTTAAATTTTTGCACTGTTTTACGTGCTTACGACAATGACGTACGTGACATGAAGTGAGGAAGGTAGAGAGGGGCACGTCAAATATGGGCCAGTTTAGTGCAATATAAAAAATATAGTTCAAAAAAGTACGTGAACGTTTGTAGAAGTGGATAAAATGTAGAATGATTGACAAAGTGGATTTTTTTGTATTTTTTTCATGTCGACAGATGCTATTATAAAAATACAACTATACATTTTTTTTTACAATAGATCTGCAATAATCCAATATTTAAGATCATTGATAACAATTTACAAGCCAACATCTTCAGAAGAAATAAAACCCACTATGGAACAATCACACGACAGCATTACATTAGGAAATGGATTTGTCAAAGTGCATTTCACATTAAATCTTTACACAGTGTTGAAAACCACATGCACCGGGCACCTTTTTTATGTCGGAAGATTAAACCTTGAATCGTGAACTAAAGCCTGAACAACAACACTCATCGTGTTTATCCAAGACAGACTTGTGATTAGAGTAATTTTTGTTACACTTTTTCATGGTAAAGGCCTTGCAAAGAACGTGGTTTTATTGTAAAATGTATTATTAAACATAAAAAGAAGTATTTATTTATTTCGTCTTGTTATTTTCACAAATATTTTCTCTTGATTAGACATTTGAAAATACTTAATTTGATTAACCTTGTCTACATCTGTGCATGAAATACCATTCTCAACGCTATTGAGAAATAGCAATGTTTTTATTTTATTATTTGGTGCTTTTTAAAGGAAACTTTTTATTTTAATATCGTGGATTAGTTGACATTTTTAGCGACATCGCATTTAGTCAATGCTATAACAAAATAAGCACTTGATCATGGTTTACTTGTCGAAACTTCAATGTCCTTCTGTTTAGCATGCATCTATCACTCTGCAATGAAGCAAGCAACATTAGTGTTATCGAACACACACGAGGAACAACACATGTAATACTGTAGACTGCTGCTGCCACGAAGCAACACTTTTAGTTTTGTTAGAAATGAGTCAACTGCTTCAGTCATTTTCCAGGCTCAAGTCTCTTCACACCCTCCAATCATACTCAGCATTACAAGCTCAGTAATCCGCCTTGATCTTGTGCTGTTGCCCGTCAATCTTAGCCAGGGTCTTTTTTATGCGCAGACCAGTGAGACGGGCGGATGGATTCTGATACCAGCACTCTTTCATTACCCGAGCTAAGGCTGCCAACATCTACACTCCACAAAGAGGGAAAAACAACAAATGCAAATGAGGGATTCACATGAACACACACAAATCCAGAGATTTCAAACTACACAGCCTTCATAAATGAGCAGAAGTTATTTTTGCGTTGCCTAATTTTTTTAAAAGTATTTTTTAAGCAATCTACTTACATGGAATATTGTTCTAGACTTTAATATCAGATCCAATAACGGTATAAATACACATAAGGTTACTTAACATCTATATTTGTATAGGTAAGCTTTACTTAAAAAATGGAACGCCATTGAAATATCGCAGAATTACACTTTTTATTTACTTGCTATGAGCAACTAGAACTGATTAGCCATGTCTGAAACCATATCTCACTTGATTAATAACAAGGATTATTAAATTGTTTACATTGAATACTGATAATACCTCATTGTTGACATTTTGTGCCCGTTAAGTGTACTTATTGCTTATTACTTTTTTTAGAAGGCATTTATTATTTGAAGCTGTAGCTAAACCAATATAGGCAAATTTATAGTTCACCACAACTGCTAATGGAGGCAAATAAAGTGCACCTGTATTTATGTTCATATTTACAATGTTTTCATAAAGTACCATAGCATTTATTTTCCACAATCTTATCCGTGGTGCTAAAGTTGAGGGTAAGAATCCACCCATTTTTTCGCCATATAGCATTGTGATATATAACGACTTATTGTTGGTAGCTTAGCTGATTGGAGAATATAGAGTTTATTGATAACATTAAGGTAATTTATATTTTAGTTTTTTATTGGTTCACTATATAGTACTGTGAATAGCTCAGATGTGTAGGCCTTGACTTCAACATAGTCATTTCTGTGACCAGTCACTAGCTAATCACTCAGTTATTTCAATGCTAAATTCGCCTAGTTATTTCAATGCTAAATTCTCCTGTTTGATTTGTACTAAGTGCCTCGGTGAATGTGTATGCTCTGACTTTAACGTAGCTATTTCTGTGAGCAGTTACAAGCTATTCACTCAGCTATTTCAATGCTAAATTCTATGCTAATTCCATTGTCAAGGGGTGCCTCTGCGGATGTGTATGCTTTAACTTTTATTTCAATGCTAAATTCTATGCTAATTCCTTTAACAAGGGGTGCCTCTGCGGATGTGTATGCTTTAACTTTTAACATAGCTATTTCTGTGACCAGTCACAAGCTAATCATTCAGCCATTTCAATGCTAAATTATATGCTAATTCCTTTGTCAAGGCGCTTTGTTCCTCTCACACAGCTTAAAGGCCGTGATCTGAACGTGGCTCTTTCACTCCAGCGCTGTCCTACAGACAGTCTCGTCCCTTCACCTGATGAAGGCCGCTTGTGTTGTGGCCGAAACGTCGTGAGAATATTATTGTGTTATTTTATTTTATCAATTTATTATTTTATTCTCATTCTACGTGACTTTACCGAAAGAACCAAAGAAGATGTAATAATGTTCTCATTTGACAGTTTCTTTTACATTTAATTAAATAAAAATACGTATAATTTCCAGTACGTTACCAATACAATGCCGGATTAAAGTCCCTCCACACCAGTGACGTGCGATGAGGTCAATGGCTGGGGAGGCACTGGCTAGTGTCAGAGCCAGATTCACACACTGAGGGGGGCGTGGCCTCACTGAGGGGGGGCGTGTTAGAACCGTCCCCCTCAGTGAGGCAGATGTGATAGCTGCCTCCCCTGGTGCTTTTTCATTGCAGTTTTATGACGAGACCAGCGAGCCTAAATATCTTTATACACATACGTGAAAAAAGTTACCTGGAGAATGGAAGGCGAGGACATGAAATGAAGGGGTCTACAAACATTACATTTGTGACATACTAAGATAGTAACAGGCACGCGCTTATTGCCCGCGCTCCATACAGTTACTGAGGGGTTGCGCAATCAGAGGGGAGGCTGAGCTCGTCGCTGCCTCTCATCTCTTCCTTTATGTGCAGCGGAGCTCCGCAAATTTGGCGATTTTGACTATAAAAATTATTGGAATCGTACAGAAATGATATTTGTAACACAGATCAGTGGAAAAATCTTAATATTTATTTGATTATTCTTTTTTGTTTTACTTTTAGTAACAGCTATTTTCATTAGAGTATGACAGGTGACGCTCTGCCTCCCCTGCCTCCCCTGACCGCACATCCCTGCTCCACACCATGGCAGCCATGATGGTTGTTTAGCCATACTTCACTGCACTGAGTGTCCAAGACTCAAGGAACCAAAATGAAGTAAGAAATGTTCTGGCTAGCTCATCTGCCTTGTGTTTTTTTTTTAGTATGGTGTATAGATCTACTCACCGGGTCAGAAAACCAGCGATTTGGTATTGTGGGTCGCTGTTGATCTACACACACCAGCTTTCGCATTTCATCAAAACTGGGGTCACATGGCACAATGTCATGGAACGGGACCTTGTACTCTTCAGCAATACCTGTGTGAAAAAGACCCTCGTGCACAGAAAGGTCAATGCCAAGTGAGATTAGTTCAGAGACCTCTCTTTCACTGGAACCACTGCTTTTGGCAAAACCTTAAAATTAAAGGTTTAAGATATATCTATCTTCACCATTAACATGCATTTAAGCAATGAGGCCTCATCACAATGTAAATAATAAACTACCATCACATTTCTTTACATTATGGTATATGTTATTTAGTTTTATCAATGGCTATAATGGAATACATTAGGCCTACAATGCAATCTTCTAGGGAAGATACTGCATAGAATGGATTGCAAAGATAAACAGATATTGGGGATTTTTTTTTTTATAAAAAGCCAAATAAACGCATCAACAGCAATGATACAGATGTCTGTGATCTGTATTGATTCTAAAGGAATGATAATATCACATATGTGCACTAGAACTGGGCAATTTGTGCAGGAATCACATTCAATTGCTATGACTACCCCAGATGATTCCTGTAGACATTGCAGGCAAATTCCATTAAAAAAACACACGAGATAGAGCACTAACAGAGCACGTGATTTACTGTGGCACACCAATTCACCGAATTCCATACCAGGTATAGCTTTTTCGTGCACATATGCAGAGCAGCAATGCTTAGCAACCTCGTGAAACTATAAACTCAGCACATTCGTCAATAAGATGACGTAACCACCGCCATACACAAATTGTCTCGCGTACCTCTTGCCAAGGCTACGCACACAAGTAGCTGCCACATGTATGCCAGGCTATACACATAGTTGCTCTATGTATCACCGAGGCTAAAGCTGCTCCATACATTCTAGCCACGCTTTGGCATGGGAAAGAACCATGCCCAGGTCGGCCTCCATAAGGCATATTCCTGGCCCCAAAGTCCTTTTTGCCTTGCCTAAATGGCATGCCAGAATCCGAGTCGAATTTTGCTCACGAGGCATCGGCCATACATTTTAATGGGCATTCTACCGGGCTGGCGAGATCCCGCGGGTCCTCCAGGTTCAACGTAGCACAACCCCACCACAATTTCACAATTATTTTAATCTCACGATCCTGTTAGAAATGACCGAAACTATGAAATGGAATCGTGAATCCAGGCTAGGTGTCTCCCAGCTCTAATAAACACACAATATTCACATGGCTTCACAGGCCACATAACCAATTGACTTCATACACATACAGCAGGTTCAACACATTTTATGCGAAGTCTTATTAGATCACGCTGGAATATCAATATCGTTATTTAAACTTGATTAAGGAAATCAATTGTATACATGCACAACATTAAATATTCCCATTACATGTTCATCACAAGGTTAGTAGTTGATCAATTACCTCAGATACACTATTGGATTGTGTCTTAATAGTGAAACATTGGTGCAAGACATACACATAAAGAAATTATTTGCCAAGGTAAGGCCTACAGAGCTGCATAGCTTTTTCAGAAGCGACCTAGCCTAACAAAGTGGTTTATCATGAGGACATTTCTAGCAACCAAATGCTCTAAGTGTGGAGGGAAAAAACCGAAGGACCTCAGACAAAAATCCACGTGACCACAGTGAGAACATGCAAACTCCAAATATACAGGCATCGGGGTTGGAATCGAACCCACGACCACCTGTATACCAGATGAGGGAGTTAACATCTCGCCACTGCGGCACGCTGGTGAGCACCCAATAAGCACACAATGGCAACTGTTTTTTTAAGAGAGAAAACTGAATGCCATAACGTATTTATCTAAGTATTGAATACACTGGCCTTACACAAATGTAAACACATTCCGTGCAGTATAAAATGATTCATACAGCAGCATGAAGATTCATAATACCTGCATCACGTATTTGTTTTACATGAACAGGGATGTATACAGGTGTTGCTCGGTGTGATAAAACATTCCGTGTGCTCTTTTTTTTTGGTTCGCATTCAATTACGGCTCCCTCGCCACCCAGTTTGCATGCGTTCATTCGTGCAAGGTCGCCCAATGATCAACAACCGATGTAACCGCAGCTCGCAAGTCTCGTGTCTGCTTCTTGAAAAAATAAAGACAAGTAGGAATGTTGGAGTAGAGACAAGAATGCTGATTGTGGACATTGATTTGGTGGGGACAGTTGTATTCGGGGGAGCCGTTTCCACTTAGGGAGAGAAAAGCTAAAAGCGACTGTAGCCGTACAGAATTTAGGATATGCATTAAGCATAAATTATGTTTTTGATGTACTGTACTGATTTTTTTATTTTTTATCCTAATTTTAAAATTATTGCCAAATTTGATTTCACAATTAACCCATGCAGTATTCCAAATGATTCCTATTTGTATAATAATGTTTTCTCATGCTCTATTTAAGTATTTATAAAAGGCCAATATGGCCTCAAAATTACAGCTCATATTTTGTCCTCAAAGCAATGAGAAAGAGGACATCTAAATTTTTTCTTATGATGAGTAATGCACGTAATTTCATGCGGAGGCTTTCACGACCAACATTGTTATTCATAATTAGATTGTTTGAGTTGGAGCGTGTAAGTGTGATACCAATTAGAACGAAAACTCTCCACCAGACATTCGAGACACACAATCAAGGATTGACACCCGAGATGGGTCGATATATATTGCAGAGAACTATGCCATAGAACTCGAGGGACAAGAGAGGAGAACGAGGGTGGATACGTTGCCCGTGGGGAGGAGTTACACTTGGAGGTGTCCTTCTTCCCACCCCCTTTCCATTGATTGCCAAGATTTTGCAGAAGGTGCGCTAGGACAGGGTCAGGATCGTCATTGTGGCTCCACGTTGGCCGATGGGATGCCCCCTCTGACATCCAGGTTGTTGAAAGCTTTAAGGGCAGAGCATCCGGTGGTTAGGTTCGTGGTTCCACCTTGGAATTGCCCAAAGGTGCCGAGTGGTCTCTGTGAGCCACCCTTTGGTTTCTGGGTGCCTGCCGTTTGAAGCGGCTAACACTCGTTGCTAACACTGGTGGGTTTTTTCGGTGGAAATCACTTTCACAATTCACACGTGCTGAAGGTATTGATGATGAATTTACCATTGATAGTTTTGCACAAGGACAAGATGGTCCTTTGCACATCACCTTGCTTTTTTACAAAGGTAATGTCCAAATTCCAAATGAACTGGGAGATTTTTTCCCACTCTTTTTCATCTTAAGCCTTTCGGGTCAGACAAGCAATGTAGGTTGCCCAAGCTAGATATGTCAGAGTTCTGTTATTCTATCTGATAGAACAGCAGAGTTTTTAAAGTCCGGACAGTTATTTGTTTGTTCTGTATGGGGATTGGAGGAGGGAGAGGCTGTGTACAAGCAGCATATTGATGCTTGACATTCTTCGAAAACATTGGTTTAACAATCAACCACAACAGAACATCAACAGGCCAATGCGTACATCTCCTTAATGAATGGAACATTAAAGACAAGCCTTAGTGTGATTGTGGTCATGCAACCCAAACTACGGACCATACAGTAAACCACTGTAGTATGCACTACTTCAATGGAGGAATAGCAACACTACACTGAACCCCTTTTCGTGGCAAGCAGACCTCAACATTGCCATTTGGCTCCTGAACATTTTGCCATACGCAAGAGGAGAAGAGTTGATGTTTGGCTCAGGCTCTCCATTTGAGATGCCAATATTATTGAGATGCCAAGGGACAGCACACTCCATTTAACCAAAGCCATGGCAGTTTCCTGGGTTTTGTAAACCCGAAACCTGGAAGGGCCTTTTTTCATTTGTGTTGTCATCATTGCCTGGGCACCTGGGTTTCTGCTGAGATCACAATTTAAAACGGGCTGTTCTTTAGTTGATGAAACCCCTTCTTGGGGCACTCCTCTAGCAGTGGAGGCTCTGATGTAGATTCAAAGATCAAGATTAAAGGAGATCTTGCAAGTGGAGTTGTTTTACGAAAATAAGTTTCGTAACTTACGTTAGCTCGCTTTCTTGAGAAGTTCGTCAACATATTTTCCTCACTCCTCTGCCATCCCCGCTTTCATATAAGGTTTCTAGAATTGCGTTGACATTGCGATACAAGGTCGAGTTTTTTCTGTTGCCCAGGTGTGTTTATTTCATTTTCTATTCTTGTTAAAGTAGAGCTTTGTTCGTGCTTGTAAAGTGTTAACGTTTCTGGTGAGATCATTAGGGGACGACATGATGTGCGGTGGTCTAAACCCTTTCACCTCTGGTCATTCTGGGGATGCGCCTCTTCAGGTTCGAGTTTGAAGACGAGGAGGGAATGCGTAATGTCAGCTAAAGAAACCATGCTAACGAGTTTCAACTCTCGCATTGTCACACGAGAGAGCAGTTCAGGGATGTAATTTGTGCAAAATGCTTCGCTGAAGGGTCCTTTCAGTTTTTCCAGCCATTACCATGCTAATCTCAAATTGAACAAAATCCACTGCAGATAAATTAACTTATCATCGTGCCATTTTCATTCTGCAACCTTGACAATGGTGGAACGTATTGTATGTCATTGTCTGCTTAATGATATTTTTGCTGAAGGCAATTTATGGTAAATCAGCAAACAACGCGAGGGTAACTCATCTCTCTCAAGCATGGGTTTAGAACAAACATTATGTAACGGCCGGCCCATACGTAGGCACGTGGGCATTGCGCCAGAGCCCCGATCTGAACACGGGTCCCTGCACCGACGCATCTACTTACCGTTATTGACCGTGCGCCGGGCGATTTCCCAGAGGACAAGGCCAAACGCCCAGACATCAGCTCGCTTGAACGAGTCAAAGCAATCGGCCTGGATGCTGTCATCTAGCAGCTCGGGTGCCATGTAGCGCTTGGTGCCCACGCGTGGGTTCTGCCCCAGATCCAGCATGTTGGTCATCTGCGAGTGCATGACAGCGAGCCCTGCGCACACGAGAGAAAGGGTAACGGGCGTTACACATTAAAGATGGTCACTGCATCGAGCGCTTTCAAATGCGGTTCTGCGGCCGTCTGGAACGCTTTTCCTTCCGATATTAGGAAGTCACTGGAGCTATGCAGTTTTTAATCTCGACTGAAAACTAATTTCTTTTGAACTGCTTTTTATGTTTAGTTTGTCTTTCCCCCGAACCTCCGATTAGCATGGTAGGCTGCGTATGGTGCGAAAGAAGTTCAACATATGTACATACAAACACAAACATCCCTACGTTGAACACACACACGATGTTGTGGAAACTGCTGTTATGGAGAACCTATGCAAGGCAGACATGGCGCGCAAGTGGACCGGTTGCATAATGTTGCCAGCACCACATCCAGGCACCTTTGTCTCTCCAGTGCTGATGTTTACACGCTGCACCAGGTATTCATTTAAGGCCAAGTCATCCTAGGGGACGTCCAGGACAAGTTTAGATAATTACCACCGATGTTAGCCATGGCCAGGAATCCAACTTGGGCCGAGGGGTTTGTGCAGCACCCCACATGCAAAGTCAAGTAAAAGTGTCTTTATTCAAATTACCATGGATAGCGCTCATCTAAGTTAGAAGTGGAAATTACCCATCCCCATGACATGGTCCAGTCTATAATGGCAAACACTGTTATCTTCCCCACAAAATGATTACTCATCTTATTGAACCCTGACCAGTATATGAACTCACAACATTCTGATTGCTAGTCAAGTGCTCTAGCAAGTGCCACCACCTATTAAGGAATGTACATCCTGTAAATAACATACGGTGTAAATATGAAACACGTAATACTGGTCGCAGATGACAGACACTCATTAATGGTATTTTAAAAACAATCCGAGGCACGGCCCTTTTGAGTCCTGAGACTCAACAAGGCTTTCCTGGGTAAAAATTGGCAAAGAAAATATACAAAAAAAAAGATTACATATGACATCATTGCACATTCCCCCAAAACTAATGCTGTTGGGAAGCAGCTCGTTTGGCAATGCTTTATACCGGTGCATTGTTAAACATGAAGACAATGTTCCCATGCCGCCACGATTCAGTTGCGCCGTAAATAACTCGTAAATGCACAAAAAAATGTGTCCATTGCCAATTTAACTCTTTATAAGGATAACTGTACAAAACTTCAATATTCTGTTGCCATCTATATGTAAAATATATATATAATACAGGCAGGGGTGGAGCCAGGATTTCAGGCCAGGGTGACATTCAACAAATTTTAATTTCAAGAATGATTAGAGAGTCAGGCTGTTGAACTAGACGCCATCGGTTGGCGACACACTCTGACAATGCAGTTGCACGGAGTCCGCCAGACCGAGTGTCGTACACTTACACGCAGAATGTCACCCCTGTCACCCCCCCTGGCTCCGCCCCTGAATACAGGTACATATGGAAATTTACCAAGATACATTTTCCAAAAGTTATTTTCTAAACGACATATTAGTGTATCCATAGCCGTATGTCTGCACATTATGTAAAAAAAATATCAGTATTCATCGATTACATTTTGCATACACGACCAGCAAACCAACCCAGAAACACCGAATAGAGCAACCTCCAACAGCACAGACATACAGTGCATGTTTATTTTATGACTTTCAGTGTCCAGTTAGTTATGTATACTTTCACTCACTGCAAAGATAACAGGTTTGGCAATAAGTCCACGAAAAAGTCGTAACAGGTTATGCACACTCAAGCGCACACCCCGCTCCCAACCCTCCCACCGCCGCTCCTACCCAAATCGGCGATGCAGCACTGGCCATTGTCTTTCACAAGGATGTTCTTGCTCTTGATGTCACGGTGCGCAATGCCTGGCTTGCCCTGCGTGCCCACGATCTCAACGTGGAGGTGCGCCAGCCCGGCGGCGGCCGACAGCGCAAGGCGCAGGCACGCGGCCGCGTCGAGCGTGGCCGCGTGCAGGTGGTCGTACAGCGACCCCGTCTCGTGGAAGTGCGTCACCAGCCACAGCTGCGTGCTCGAGTTGCGCGATGTCATGTCCGATGCGATGAAACCTGCGCCACCGCGGGCGGGCGGGCGGGCGGGCGGGCATGCGGCGATGATTCCATGCAAAAGAAAAAGGAGATACGCAAAATAAGGAAAGATGGACGTTGCACGACGGAACCGCAGGGTACCGCAACGGCGCACTGTGGGTTTGTGTAATCGTGCAAGCCTGCCGTCGTCGGTCCAGCGCAGGGCAAGGGTCGTTGCCTCTGTGCCACAGGGGGGCCGCGAAGGTTAATTGACCATACTTCACCAAACTAGTCGGTGCCAATTGTTGAAGGTGGGGCCGCATATACGCAGGAGCGTAGAGGTACAATGGGAATGTTGCACTGCCCTCTGCAGCCCACCATTTAATTGTACCGCCTATAACGACCTAATGCGCACGGTGGTCACCATACCCAAGCACTGTCCAGCCTCAAAGGCTGCTTAGCATTCAATATGTGACAGCATCAGGCACATGGTGATTTAGTTGCAGGCAGTGTGGTTTAATCATTTGTAAGCGTGTACACATATGCTCTATAGATTAGGGATCCAATGTTTAATATAAGAGCAGTTATTTACATAGTCATTAATGTATTACTGAACCTCTGTGACTATTTTTCTGAAGGGTACTGGGTCTCTGGTAAATTTCATAATAAATATATTCAAACTCAATGACCGTGTATATAAATTATGCTTAACTAATGAAATATTATTTTAATGCATGAGGATACGAGTATTATTTTACAATGAGCACAGTGGGTCGAAAATATAGTTCACCATTACATTTCGAATGGCTTTAATTGCATGCATTCTATCTCTATGGCTGGATGGCGCCGAACCCCATTGCACGTTTTGAACGATAAATGTTCGTACATTTTAGGTTCGAGTAATTATGAAATAGCTTAAAGCCCTTAGTAAATCCATTACCGAATAGAAGCAGAGAGGTTTGTTTGTTTGCCCATGTACGTATGCTGAACTTCTTTTGCACCGTATTTTGGCTAATCGGAGGTGCGGGTTGGTTAGTGCGGATTGTGGGGATGGGGTGGTGGCTAAGGTAGGACTCGGTTCAGATGTCATGAGCCACTGATGTTAGCCGTTGTGGAGCAAACGAGAATATTTGTATATTCACTGTACTCACTAATAAAACACGCCTTTCGTGTTAAGTTTGTGGTCCCCCCCCCCCGCATCTCTGATTACCACGGTTGGCTACGTACGGTGTGAAATAAGTTCAATACACATACATGAAATGGGCCAAATTGGCTTCACTTTGTTACTTAATTGCTTAATATAATTTACATATATAGATAATTACTTCCCCTTCATAAATCCACTCCCGGATGAAGGTATCTGCACACAATGTGAGCCACGGGAGTTGTTGCCATACTTCACCATGTTGACCAGTGCGAGAGGGGGAGAAACCGGTTCAGGTATCACTCATCACTGATGTTAGCCATAGTCAAGAATTTAACTGAAGTAACGGAGAAGCGCAGTGCGCTAAACACTGGACCACCATTCCACCCCGCAGTTATTGATATCGCTACAATATTCATGAGGTGGAAGCTGCTGGATCAGTAATCTTTCTACGCACCGTACTCAGCAATGAAAACGAAGTCAATGGCCCAACAATCACCAACACTTCGATGGACCCATCCCACTTTTGTGCCGGAAACAACAGTTGCCAGTCACTCGAAATGCATCACATTGTCACAAGAGATCCCTGATTTTCTTGCAGTTTCTCGAGCAAATTTGTTATTGTTATCATTTATGGCTTATTTATAACCTCAGAATATTAAATTAGGTTTAAAACTTCTTAAAAGTACACGTTTTTAAAGTTAGACTGATTAAAGTTTGTGCTAAAAGCACACTTTGTTTTACAGTCGTTTACGTCGCGGGAGGTGGCGGCGGAGGCTTGAGGAGGCCTTCATCCAGCAGTGGAATGACCATGACCTGATAGATCGATGATTTTTGTAAGAAATGTGAAGCAATTTGGCTGTTACCAAGGATGTTTTCGTGCCGAAGTGACACCGTGTTGTAGATCTCGGTTTCGCGGACCCAGGAGTGCTCGTCGCGAGATGAGAATATTTTCACAGCGACGTTTTCACCCTGCCAGTGCCCCCTCCACACCTCTCCAAACCGACCCTTGCCTGCGCGCACACACGCAAGCGGAGAAACGTCCACACACAAACAAACACAACACGCTTTCCACTTGAACGATACGAGTGCAGAGACTAAAATGAAGGGTTCTGTGTAGCGCGGCGAAGGCATTGTAACAGAAAAATTCTGAGTGCTCGTGGATTCTCTCACATTGGCGCATGTTGTCTTACGTATGTACTTAACTGCCCTCGTGCCATGCACCACCTGAGCTTACGACAATGCTAAATGATTCATCACTGCCGGACCTGATTATGCAGTGTACGTGCGTTCACATGCGCGGTGATTGGTGGAACAAAAAATGGAAGGAACCGGAAAGAGAGGAAGACCTAACAGAGAATGGCTTGACAACATAAGAGATTGGGGCCAGAAAGATGTGCACTACTTGAGCATATTGGCACAAGACAGAGGAAAGTGGAAACATATGACATCTACAGGTTATCTGCCCATGGATCGTGATGATGATGATGTGTACTCGCGAACAGCACTTGCCCCAACAGCCTGTCAAAGGTTATATGGTGGGGACCTGTGTGTACGTGTGTGAATTTTGTGGTCCAGTCAATGGACATTAGCAAGCATGGTGGAGTTCGATGAACGGAGTGCTCGAGTATCTGTTCATGAGAAAACGTGTGTCCATATTCATCTTAACTTAATGGAATGTATAAAGCGCTTTAAATAAGGCGCTTTACAAAGAATTAACAATGGTACATATGAATGTAATGATGGAAATGAGGCGAATACAATAGATGAGAGGAAGCAATGGGTAAATCTGTGATGTGTGAATTCGGTGAAAGCTAAATTGATGACAGTAAATGATGATGGACCGAATGAATGGCGAACGAGTGAAAGCCATATAATGATAATATAAAAGAGGGAACACTAACGGTGGTGGTTATGAGGGGGATAATAAGGGGTCGTAATGTGAGCTAGGGAAAATAGGTGAGTGTTTGGGTGAGGAGCGGAAACGAGTGAGCCAAGGTGACAGTTTCATGTGGCCACAACTGACCGACACAGTCCACCAGGGTAATCTGGCGCGCCACGGTGCGCTGCACTAAGAAGGGCAGACCCGAACCGCTGCCCGATGTGCAAGAGTGATCAAATAGGTCCTGTGGGAAACAGACAAAACAAAAAAAGTCAGCTGAGCGAATTCTTAAAACAAGCATTTCACTCATCCTGAAGGCATCTTGCCCTGCAGCTCCCCTTTGTGTCCGTGTCTAGAACTACTCAAAAGAGCTGCGCGCGTGGGCTGACTGCTGCAAGGCACCTTTGGAACAATGGCACCGAGTTTCAGTGAGGATGCAGTTTTGTATTGGCATGATGTAATATCTACCGTAACATCATGGATAAGAGTCAAAGATGATGACTAACTCTGTCGTACGTCTTTATTTGAATCGTGAGGAATAGACGTGGCTATTTCTTTCAAATCCACACGTGGCAAGCTATGCCTTCCTTTCCCAAGGGCATAAATTACTCCAGAGTTAAATTCTCAGCAACATTGTGGGCAGCAGTGTTTAAACAAAGAGTGAAAATGTTAGATAACATGCTATTTGATAAGGTTTTAGTCACACACAAAAAAACCGTTGTGCAGATTCAGTAATAGCTTTGATTACTGAAACGTGCAAGTGCGTGATGTCACCGGAGAAACAACATTTTTTAACAGCACTGCAATGCATAAGCAGAAGTTAAATAATTAAATTGCTAAATTATTTGTCAACCATTTTTTTATTCAAAATTGTAGAATTTTTTAAAAAGAATTACAGACCCATTCACCTCCCTATAGTATGAATATACATTGTCCACAAAGGTCTTAAGAAAACCAAAGAATGGAGAGTCTGAAGCCCAACCAACTGTTTGAGCAAGCAAGATTTTATTTACCAGGTACGCACTCAGATTCTAAGAAAAATTATTATCAAATTCCACTAGAATCGGCTTTTATAGATTAAGTGGAAATTGATCCATCCATCCAAGTTCTCACAAACTAAGCCCTTCCAAAATAAATCTAAATCACCAAACCCTTCTATATTTATTAAATGGCTATGTTCTTTTTTAGTATTGGTGATGTTTTTTCACATTCAGATGGTCAAGCCAGATCACCGTATCAGGAGCAGTAGGAGTATATCACCACGATGTCTCCTTCAAATTTGTGGATCGGGCATTGCATTGTTATATGTTGTATGGTCTGTTCTGGATGACCACAGTCGCACAATGGATAATATTTATTTTACATTTGTGCATCTGTCATGGTTTGTGTGGATGCGGTTTAGGGGTGGACCGTGAGCTTCACGTAAGATCAAAACTAGAGCTCTTCTGTGTTGGATCTTTCACGCGGATTAAATGGCTATGCTGAGATGACATGAAAGCAATAAAATACAATTCAGAAGAGGAGGTGGGCAAGGAGATACGCCCTCACAGTGACTTTAGAATCCATTGTCTAAAAATATTATTTTCTGAAAAATGGATTCAAGAAATCGAACCATAAACATAAATGGAGACATTTCTAACTACGTTTACCGATAACAGTTGTTATAATAACCAATTAACTAAAACTTACAATGAAGAGACACATTGGAAAATACAATCGAGTATGTATACAGTCAGATCATGATGGTGACCTTGTGGGGAGGTCTTCATCGACCAGGGGATTGATCATGGCTGATCATAGCAATGAATGATTACATTAATAAGTGACATAGTTGAAGACACGGAGTTGCAATCAAAAACTAGCAACTCATCTGTAACCAGCCACAACACATATCAATAATTGCGGCCGCTCAAACTTTAAAAAACAAAAGCTCTCGTTTCACGACTAGCTTTCCTGAATAATATCGCAGCGAGAATGAAGCAAAGAGTTTTCAGATGAACTCACGGCCAGCGTGCTGTCGCCCACATTGGTGGGAATTAGTGCGTCAGCCGCGTTTCCCTTCTCGTCGTCAATGGACGGCAGATGCTTGATACGGCGCCAAAGAATGCGGTGGATAACGAGTATCACCACCCCAGACAGCCCCAGGAGCAGTAGGAAGGGCCCCACAATGAGCAGCGCCAGCCTCTGCAGCCCCGGAGCGTTGGGATCTTCTGTCGGTTCTGTCAGGGGCCCAATAAACAATCAGCAGTTGACTCAAGCACACAGAATGCGTGGCCACCAGGGCCAGCTTCAGAATGTCAACGTAATAAGTGACTGCTCATTATGGCAGACTGGGATATAGGGGAGAAAGGGGTGGGAGGGGCATGATGCTTCTACCAGAATCCTGGATAATCATAACATGAGCAAAAGCAGATGAGCCTCTAGAAAGTTACATAATACAGTAATGTCTCCCCCTTTGACGTCGTTTTGAAAATAGGTCATCACTTTATTAATACGACCTCAGCCACACACTTACATCGCTTACAGTATCCGTCCTTTCTCATATCCGTCGCCTCAACCTTCGTCTCCACTTACCCCGTAAAAATTGCTTTGATTTACGTCACTTCCATATCCATCGCATCTTTCAGGAAAGTATCCCCGACATAAACCGCAGTATATTACTGTAACAATAATGCAAATGATTGACTTGGGGAAGCCGAAGCCTCGCTTGTCAGCAAGGTCCTGTCTTGTGATGTTTTGTCAATACCAAAAAAAGAGTGTTTGGCTTGGAGTGAGAGGAAGTAATCAGAGAGAATAAATTCATAAAGGGAGTGAGAGACTGATCCACCGCCATCCCCTGGTCACTTTCAGCCGCGTCTACAAACACGACCGCTGTTCGTAGATGGACAGACTGCCGTCACTGTGCACTCCCGCAGCCACCACACCACACAAAGAGATTGGGTTCTGCACAATGGCAACATGTGTATTAAATTTTGACTTAAAACTTTCGTGACTGCAGGAATTCATAATGTTGTTTCTTTCGGTAAAGTCACGCGATCGAAACATCATGGGTTTTTTGCTTATATTTTCAATGTATAATTTTTTCTATATTTTATTTAATTACATTTTATTATTTTATTTAGATTTATTTTTTTTGTTTTCTATTTAAGTGACTTTACCGAAATAACCAAGAATAACATTAGTATTACGAGCAAGCAGCTCCCCCATTAATAATTATAATCAATCGTGCCACTGCGACACTCGGGTGATGAGTACATGTGTCCTGTGGCTGTTAGTACAGAGCCATGTCACGTTAATTGGTGCACAGAAACAAGACTGCTTTCACGGGTGACACAACACATAGCGGCGTGGGGATGGCATTCTTTGCCCAGAGTGCCAATGTCACGCATTCATTTTTTTTATAACTGCCTTTTGTATTTAGTTTGTTGTCCTTTCCCCGAAATAACATTCGAAACCATGGTTTTGAATGTTATGTATAGAACCAGCTGTAATCTGCGTTGTGTAAAGAATGATACAAAAATTGTGATTTTTGTGGAATTCATAATTCTGTTATGTAAACCAGACAGACTACATTAGCAAGCTCCACAATTTATAATTCTCCAAGTTATTTCTCCTCTGTGGCGCGTCACTCATGTGCTTGCTCTGTCCACTACAAAATAGAGCTTTCTGTGACATTGTCAAGCACTCAACGGTGGGGATTGTAGGCACCGATTATTTTATCAATTAATCCATCTCTCATGTGCGAGACCTAAAAATATAACTTAAGGTAGCAGTCATTTAAACGGTGCATCGATTCAAATAGATTCTTACACTCACAATGTTTGCATGAAATTACATTTTTAAGAATCAAAAATTGTTCGATCCATATATGTTGTTTGTAATATTATTCGGCTGTCTGTGCGACTCTTGCGGGCAAATATTTGCCACATTGTAAAAAAAAATGTTTAATTGAGTCATCGAACAATCACCCCAAATTGTGATAATTCAGCTAATCATGAGGTGGGGGGGAGGGGGGGACGAACTTTACACGCTGACCAGACACTTGTGTCCATCAGACCATTGGCGTTCCAGATTGGCATTCCAGATCAATATCACAAAGCAGAATTTGTATAAAATCAACCAAACTCCAGATTGGTTTTGACCATCTGGGTCTCACCAGCACAGTCAGACTTGTTCAACAAACACTGCTCGATTACCAGAGTGTTATTGAAAAGAGCACTCGATATAAACCGCTTGTACAAGCTTTGACACACGATGCTCCATGTTAGCACAACGAGCGTGAGCGCTATCCATTCAGGTAATTCGTGGCCGTTGGGCGTGCGTGCGCGTCTGCCGGGCATGTGGTGCGGCGTCGTGTTACAAGACACGCACTGGGCTTTGGTTCCAGGGCGACGGTGGAGTTGAAGTTACACAGGTGGCCACGGCAGCACTCGATGGCTTGCTCCGAACTGGGCGGCGTGCGGCACGTCAGCTTGCCCTGCACGTTGGCGCGGAAGCAGCCCTTCTGAAGCACCGGCACGCCGTCTTCCAGGTTGACCGAGGTGAAGCAGTGGTGGCCGTGACACCGGTCCAGGTCGTCGCAGGACATGCCCTCGCACGCGCACTCGTAAGTCGCCGGGGCGGGCACAGCTGCCGCCGCCGCCGCCGCCGCCGCCGCCGACCTGGAACTGCGCAAATCTCTCCCTGCCAACAACGCACACGGTCCCCACAAGGAACACGCACTGTCAGAGGTTGTAAATGCATCTCCGCGAGGGTAATACAACAGGAGGTGCTGTTTTGAAAAAATAATAAAAGCGTTATCTGGCAATGATGATAATTAAGGTGTAACGTGTAAACCGGATTCTTGAAAATATGCAGTGTTTTATGGATTATAAGACACCCACTTCGGAAAGTAAAACACACCCCAACTTGTGCCTGGTGTCTATACAGTTCTACATATTTAGTCCCACACACAGCTATGGATTATAAGATGCACCATCGCCTTTTGATTTAAGAGGAAAAAGAGTGCACCTAATAATCCGGAGAATTGAATAATGTTCACAATAATTTGATAGCACATGAGAATTTGATAGCACATGTGAATGGCACGTCATACCCAAAGTACAGAGGTTAGAATTCATCAGATATCTATCGTGGGTGTAAAGTGGCATTTGCATGTGCTATAAAATTGAATTTAAAGTAGTCTTGTAATTTTATCGCCGTGAAATTTCCCATTTAACTATATTATAGTAATAGTACTATCAGTTTCATGTTGAATAACAAGGTATTTCTTCATTACATTCCTGGAACTAGAAATATTGTCACCAGTGTCAGCGCACAGCTGACAACCAAGGAAGAGGAGTGCCAAATGGTAGCCGGTTGGCTCAAAAACACGAAGCAATCACTGCTGAAATCCTTGGGCAGTCGCCATAGGTTAAACTGGGATCTCCTTCGGAGAAAGGCGATGGTCACCAACCACTGCACAAACAAATATAGATCTCAATGGACATATCGTAATCTCATGACCCTATTGTGTGACTGGAATATAATTTGAGGAAAGACAAAGGTACAACAAATGCTTCATGCTAGTACGGACAATGTCAATTGTAAATACAGAAACGACAGTTAAAGCCAGGGGAAACTCACTGGGAAGAGAGGTTGCAGATCCGGCCAAAGCAATAAGGGCACCAAACAGCGTCACAGCCAGTGCCATCATCATCACAACCTGCAACAGACGCCGAGTGAAACCATCAAACACACGCCAACACGGCTTTGTTCGTCACCGATTGAAGAGATTCCGACTTACTGTAGCAGCTGAGATGGCAAGTAGGCATTTCATAAAGGGAGACCCGGGAGATTATAACAACCCAAATGAGCACAGGCATCTTGACTTGAAGCATTCGTGACTGCAGGAATTAATATTCTTTGGGTCTTTCGGTAAAGTCAAGTAGATAGGTTCAAAGAAAATAAGAAAAAACGACGACGTTTCGATCGCAACGCAAGCGAAACGTCGCAGTTTTTTGTTCTTTTCTTTGAACCTATCTACGGGACTTTACCGAAAGACCCAAAGAGTGAGCACAGGCATTTTAATAAGTAAAGACCACACCTCTTACCTAATACCAATGATAAGGTCACCGACTATATTGAAAACTTATATCATTCACCAATATATCTGAAAACTACACCAAATCAGTTTCAAACGCTTTAAGATTCACTTTAAATAAAATCAATGAGAAGTCTTTATTCTTAGGATTCCATTGAAATTACCGCATTGGTAAATTACATGTCTACAGAAATTGGTATTCATTATTTAAAGTGTTTCAGTCAGAGTGTAATGCATTTAAATAATCTCAGACTTCCCAGTTTTTCAGTTGAATCACGTAGTTAATCAGGTGACTGCGCCAACAATTCTGCAATAAACGCCTTTACAAATGACAGGCAGATAAGCGTTTGCTGATCCGTGGAAGGATGGTCCTGCAAATGCCAGTCCAGAGTTTGAATCCCTGTAATTCCCAAGTCTCTAATTATAAAGAGTTGTTATAGTACATGCTGGTCTCTCTTGCCTAGCCATGTGTAAACATATGAATAAACAAAACAATCTAAGATATATGGCAATGTGGTTAAACTAATCGACGAGATTCATGCCCTTTCAAATGCATGCCGGTTTTGCTGTAAGAATCATTAAAAATTTGTTTAGAGACCAACATTTATTATTCCCTCCTCTGGAAGATGCAAATACTGCAAACATATATCATCACGCGTTCCAAGGAATTGACTTGAACTTGTATAATATTTGGAAATGTGTACAGCAATTTCTTCTTCGAATCAATGCCAAAACGCATCGTTTTGGTGATTTGTACCATTAACAGTAGTGGCAATTGAGCCACTGTGAATTGGACAAATAGGGACGGTTTCTCTCAATGCACAGCAACAATATTCCTACATAACAATTCCTCTATGACTGGTGATTAATTATGTAAGCATTTGCAATTACTTAACTGAATGTAGTTTAATAAATGCGTTTTTTATTACATGTACATACGGATGTTGTTATTTGAAGGCGCAGTTAAAGGTGATATTTTCATATATCTGTCGTATGTATCCCAGGACCATTATACACGCTAATTATGGTATCTAATACTTCCTGGTTGATAACACAAAGTTAACCCCCATTAATATCACCACAGCATTGACGCAGAAATGTGATAGCCAAGTACTTCTGCAGTACTCTTGCTTTCGGAATAAAACAGTAAAAATATTGGAAAAATAATAAACTCACAGATCGGGTACTAATCTACTTGCATTTCTGCCATATACAGGTATCTCAATGCCTGTGCAGGGTGGTGTCTCTTTTGAATGATCTCATTGTGATCCGCCAACCCTGCCTCCAAGTTCATAGCTTACAGGTGTGCATCACAGCACTGAGCCACCACTGGCTGTTTCGCGATGGAATCACTTCATTTTTCCAGATTTTATCATTATCAACACATGTGTACTCAATTTAGAAATGTACAGGTTCCCACTTATTCTGCTGAATTGTTGTCGAAGTGTACTGTGGTTTGGTAGTATGAACATTTCCTATAACCAGTCCAGCTCACTGCTCATGTGTAAGCTTTAAAAAAAAATCCTTACCTGATTTCACCATCCAATGTGATTGATAGTAAATAGTAATGGTAAAAATGGCAATAATAAGCAGGGTCAATTTTTTTATGCAAATGTGGAGGGAAAAACCAGAGGACCTTGAGAAAAATCCACACGACCACGGATGGGGAGAACATGCAAATTTCAAATTTACAGGCGTCAGGATCAGGATAAAACCCATGACCTCCTGCATACCAGGTGAGGTAGTTAACATCTCGCCACCGTGGTGCCCTGAGACGACTGTACAGGAAAAAAGCTAAACATCAGCAATTCAACAGAGCCATGTTTAGTATAAAAACTCACACTTGCCAACAACACTGCCTTAAAAGAAAAACACAAAGAACAGGTGACATTTCAGGAAATGGCCATTTCTTCATAGGACTCATCACAATGTGTCCATTAATCATCGGGCCATTTCCCAAAACACCACCAACTATCTATTTAATTTAAGGTAATGTTGTTGACAAGCGTGTTGTGTTCTTTGTTAATTGTGCTTGTGCATCACTGCCAATGGAGCATCACCAAATAACGTGTTCAATAAGCAGTTCTTCCAGTGCCATGTCATCCCTGAAATATTGGGCACAAGTGATATATCCGGAGCATGATGTCATTATAAGCCGACATTATTAATCACCTCGACATTCTATAGCCGACACAGCCATACAAGGAAAAACATATAACAGGCCACATTTCGGGCAAAAGCCCTCGCTTAAGTGTTATTAAGGGTCGTTTCCTGAAACGTCGCCTGTTACATTTTTTTTCTCTTTTAAGGCAACAGTGTTATTGACCAATCTGTTGGCGAAGTTTTCTGGACAATATTGATTTTACCGCAGTTAAAAAAATACCCCAAAGCCTCCAGGAGGTGGCAGCAAACTTCTATTTAAAGACCACAAATCAGAGCGCACCACACACGCCAGGAATGTTTTGTCAAACGGTTTACGTTAACAGCTACATAAAGACAAATGTATGATCGCAGTGAAGGGGGAAATAATCATGTTTGTACACTGCACTTCCAATTCACGAAAACAAACCCACGAAAATGTGAAAATGGGGAAAATTTGTGTTTGGTTGTTTGGGTCGCATCGTTCAAGCTATTTTAATAGCTCACAAGGCATTTCGGAATAAACAAGACGCACTGCGAGTCTGGGGGTGGGCTATCGGAAGTCATCCATTTGGCACACAATGTGCGCCCTGGGTATGTGGTGGCTGCGGTGGAGCCACGGTTATCAAGCCCATCCATCTGCTTGGTCTTGGAGAAGCTCGTGGGCGGAGGGCGTGGGGCAGGAAAAGCCCAAAACACAAAAGAGCAGCAGTCTAAAAGCTGACGCATGCTTAAATATTAAAAAAAACCCAGCCTTTTCACTGTATTAAAGCCATGGCGGCTACGCCAGCACACATGCCAACGTTGGCCCAACGTTTGCATGCGGGTTGGAAGGTTGGCCCAACGTTCCATGTGTACATGGTGGAAGGATGATACATGTACGGTGAAGTATAACAAAATTATCTTTAAATTAAAATTATTAGAAATACTGTAAACAAACATCCCAGCTATGAGTGCACTGCCCACTATTATTCATTCAAGTGATGTGTCAATTAATTACCTTTACCCATTAACATCCGGGATTCTAATTACTGGACTAATGATCCTCCTTCATAAAAGCTGAGATCAAATGTGAAATTCCATTACGAGGTTTTACACAGGACTAACGTGTACACGGTAATGGATTTAAATAATTGGGGTACGCAGAAGAGCAACACCATATTTCCTCTCCGCTGCACACACGAGTCTCTGTGCTCTTTCCTGCCATGTTAGAAAGATCAGAGGACTCCTTTGGGCAAGAAGCCCATCTGCGGGTTAACAACTTTACATATTAATTGAGCGTTGAACAAAGGGGGCATTAAAGCCTTTAGATTTTTTTCAATCAGCGGTGCAATAGGGGAAAAGCCAGAGTCTGCCCACATGCTGGGAGAGCCGCTGCCTCCTTGCTGTTGCCGTTAATTCCTGTGAGTCACACCAAAGCTCAAGTCCCATTCCCGAAGTCCGACTTGACCCCCCCCCGCAACCCACTGGGGTGTGGGGGGGGGGTCACGCCCAGCTTCCCAGAATACAAAGCGGCACACATCCCATGATCTCAAGGCCCACGAAGGCACAAGGCCCCGCCAAAATGTTAAACGCGAAGTTGATTTTCATCTGTTCAGATCACATTATGAAATATTTTTTTTACGAGCATCGTCTTTGCTGCTGCCCTTTAACAGAGGGGACTTTTTTTAAAATTCTTCTTCTTCTACAAATCAAACGAGGAAATGCATCAACTGCATTTGCAAGCGAGATATATTTTCTGGATAAGGTTTCTTGTTGTAAAATTTGAAGCAAAAGCAGTGCATAAAAAAACTAACAATTTGAAAAAAATAAACAAACAGGAGAGACGTAATAAACCTTGCACAATAACAAAGAAACTGAGTTTACACAACACTTTAAATGTAAGATTTTTTTTTTTACAAACGCCAAATGTACAAACAAAAGTGAACAAAGGCAATTAAACAAAAATTTCACTTTAGTGCAAAATAATACAAATTATAACATGTACATTTCGTTCTAATATTCAACGTACAAAATATGTACAACACCGTACTGTATTACATTACGTTTCATGCAAATGGTTAACAAAAGTAAATCGAGAAGAAAACGGGCACTTTATTTTTCTGACTCTCTGTCACACGGCCAAGTAGCGCAGCAGTCCCTTCACTGCTCAGCAGGTACGCCTGCTTAACACAACGCTTGTTTCGCATGGTTATGGTTGCTGGGATTGGGGCACAATAATATCTCAATGAGTATACTTGCAAAAAAGCAATAGAACCACGGGACTGAAACTCCATGGCGACGAAAAAACAAAACGATTTCACAGTGCATGCCCGGGAAACATATGTGCCTACACGGTCGATGCTCTTCAAGACTTAATATTTTCAACAGTGACCCATCTGATTTGCCACTCCAATACAACAATACTTCATGGTGGTTGCCATTTATCTCTTGCGGAGTTTCAAACATCAACAACAGCTTCCTGTGAGATAAAACGTGCATTT